GTCATGCAATCATATGTTTCCAATTTTTTTAAAAATGTTCATTTGACAACATCTCATCGGCCGGGCCGAACTTTGAATACCCTCCAACATTTGGTACAAATTTAAAAATCTTCAAAAAAATAAAATCCGTTAGAAAATTCTGTTAAAATCTTAAAAATACCGAATGTAGCCGTATATTAGGGTCTATACGACGATGTGGACCTGCATAGGCAACTTTCTGTCATAGGCTGTAGTTTTCATTACGAACTTCAAATACAAAATTTGAAATAGTTTCCGTAAATAATGTCGCTAAAATTATCAAAATACCGAATATCGGGAGGTACCGTTATATGGGGGCTATACGAAGACGTGGACCTACATGGCTCATTTTCAGTTTTAGAATGTAGTACCTATTACGAACTTTAAATACCAAATTTGAAACAATTCTGGTAAATAATGTCGCTAAAATCATCAAAATACCGAATATCGGGAGGTACCGTTATATGGGGGCTAAACGAAGATGTGGACCTACATAGCCCATTTTCAATACCAAAAGTCCTGCAGACATGATACACATTTGAGTAAATTTTTATCAATCTACTTCAATTCGTTCGGAAGCTAGAGTGATTTCCAAGACGGACAGACGGACGGACATTGATAAATCTACATAGAATTTTATGCTGATCAAGTATATATATACTTCGTGGAGTCTAAAATGTATATTTCGAGGTGGCCGATAAATGGCTAGTGGGCTGAACATATCGCAATATTCCATTCGGCAAATATTGAAAAATGAGCTCGGGGTAAGGCCATTGAAATTCCAAAAAGTTCAAGACCTTACACCGCAACAGAAAGATAATAGACTCAAAAGAGCTAAAGAGTTGCTTCGCTTGGCCGAAAGTGGTGCACTGCCGATTTTGGTTTTCTCCGATGAGAAAACATTCGTTGTCCAGCAGTTTGTAAACAAACAAAATTATAGTGTTTACTTGCCAAAGAGGTCAGCTGAAAATGTGCACCTTCGGTTGGCCACCAGAACTCAAGCACCGGCCATAGTGATGGTGTGGACCGCCATAACAGCCGATGGTCGCTTTCCGCTCGTATTAATCGCCCGTGGCATCAGAAGAAATGCTGAATATTATCGCGAAAACATTCTGGAGGGTGTATTAATGCCTTTGGCTCGCAAACATGTTGGCCGCAGACCTTGGATATTTCAACAGGACTCAGCACCTTTGCACTTAGTACGCGCCACCCAAGAATGGTTATAAAATTAGGTTTCTCGTTTCATTTCCAGCGCACAATGGCCATCAAAATCTCCGGATACCAATCCGTTGGACTACTGTATCTGGAGTATTTTGGAAAGCAAGGTTGGCACTAAAAAATACCAAAGTGTTGATCACCTCAAGCAAGCGCTTCGCCAGGAATGGACCAAAATACCGCAGAGCAACATTGGGGCAGCGTGTGACGCTTTCATTGGCCGTTTGAAGGCCATAATTCCTGCCAAAGGTGACCGATTCGAACAAATCTAAACTTATTCTAAAATTTGATGCTATTTCCGATATTAGTTTTTTCATTCAATAAAATTAAAAAAATATATAAAAAGTATGGCGTTTGACTTTGTTGCAGATTTTTTATCTCACCCTGTACTTGTTTTGAATGGCGTATTACAAGGCCATATTTATGCAAATCATACTGAAAATATTTATTTTTCAAATTTCTTAAATCCTTGTTGTTGTACGTTTCCAGATGGCTGGATTTAGTGAATCCAGAGGAACTAGAAGTCAAATAAATCATCATTGAGGAGATTATGTAAACCTCCAAAACCACTGATGTAAACATACTATTTGTGTTGATCCAGTTAATTCAAATCATAACCGATTTTAAGAATACGTACCATCATGGTAGTCGCATCGACACAGCTGCTAGGACAATGAACTGTCAAACCGATTTTGGAATTGAAAATTTTGAATGAAAAATTATTAAAATTTGTAAAAACCTCTGATTTGCGTCCTATAAAAAATTAAAAAAATCCACTTATTTTTCATAAAACATTTTAGAAATTTTGACATATCAATGTTCCCAAGCGTTGATGCATCTACCTATATTCTTCTACCATGCGTTCCATAAACCGCAATTGCGAAAATCCAAATTCATATGCATTGGTATTTTCAGTAATTTTCCTGCATAATAAAATACTCTCCATAAAAGTATAAATCAAATCTACGGTCTGAAGCTATTCAACAAGATCTGGAGCCAAAAATACTAATTGACGCCTTCGGCAGAATTGATTAAATTCGCCGTTTAACCATAGATTTGTAAGAGCCAACATGTTTATTGTTCTTCAATTCTTGCAAGTGAAGTGATAGGAGTTTCCGCTCACGGGTTAGTGATGGTGTGAAATGACACCGATTGCGCCCACATTGTCACTATCGTTAAGGTGTTGAGGCTCAGTGATAGGTTGTCATCTTCTTAAGCTGTCATTTCCTGCACTGGCAATAATTCATAAATGCATTTGCATTTGGATAAATATATGTATTTGCATACATACATATATATGTGCGTACGTATGTATGTATTAATGTTGTGTATGTTTGATTTACATTGGCAGCCATTTAATGGTGTTATGGAACTGATAGCTTTCACGCCTGTTTTGATATTTAGAAATGAATGCAGTCAACCAGCCAGCCAACCAACCAAGTGCATTTGCACAAGTTATGGTGATGAGTTTGAAAGCGAACTCCAAAACGTGGTACATTATGGATTATGTATGTTTGGAGGTGCGATTTAAAGGATTTCGAATGCATTCAATTGAACGAGTTATGTGGGTTGTAAACGACATGGCGAGGTGTGACATTTATGTCGATATTTATGACAATTTATCACACCTAATTTACACTTCAGTGGTTTTTTATTTATATATTAATATTTTATTATATCTCTGTCAAGTTAGAGCAAAATAGAAGCAGCTAAGCTGGGAGAATTATTTTCTACCTTTTTGGTGAGTAAAACTATTAATATTCGACTTTGACCGGCAAATTAATATTAAAAGTTTTGCAAAGTATATGAAAAGACATAACTTTTGCCAAGTTTTTAGTTCAAAGAAGTAAACGAATTTACAAGAATCTGCTAGATTTGCAATTTTTTCGATATCATAAAGGAACAAGTAAAAAAACTGCAAGTTCGGCCGGAACGTACTTTGAATACCCTCCACCGTTTGGTACAAATTTGGCAAATTTCAAAAAAAAAGTAAAATCCGTTAAAAGTTCTATTAAAATCTTAAAAATACCGAATATAGCCGTATATTAGGGTCTATACGACGACGTGGACCCGCATAGGCAACTTTTGTCATAAGCTATTACAATATTCAAATGCGAAACTTGAAAAAAATCTGTTTATAATGTAGCTAAAATCATCAAAATACCAAACATAGGGAGGTACCATGGAGGTTATAACACGTGGACCTGCACAGACAATTTTCTGGCATAGGCTGTAGTATCCATTTCGAACATCAAATGCAAAATTTGAAACAATTCCGGTAAATAATGTCGCTAATATCATCAAAATACCGAATATCGGGCCGTCCCATTTTATGGGGGCTATACGAAGACGTGAACCTGCACAGACAATTTTGTGTCATAGGCTGTAGTATCTATTACGAATTTCAAGCACCAAATTTGAAACGATTGCGGTACATAATGTCGCTAAAATCATCAAAATGACGAATATCAGGAGGCACCGTTATATCCGGGCTATACGAAAATATTTACCTATATGGTCCATTTTCTGTCTTATGCCGTAGTATTCATTACGAACTTCAAATACCAATTTTGAAACATTTCCGGTAAATAATGTCGCTAAAATCATCAAAATACCGCATACCGCGAGGTACCGTTATATGGGGGCTATATGAATACGTGGACTTACATGGCCCATTTTCAATACCAAAAAGTCCTGCAGACATAACACACGTTTGAGTTAATTTTTATCAACTTACTTAATTTCGTTCGGAAGCTAGAGTGATTTACACAGGCGGACGGACGGACATAGCATGCTGATCATGAAAACATATACTTTGTTGGGTTTAAAATGTATATTTCGAGGTGTTATAAACGGAAATATACCAAACTTAATATACCCTCCGTACTATGGTGGAAGGTATAAGAAAATAGTAATAGTTCCGAAAAACCATGATACACACATTTAAGGGTGGAAATACATAAAGCGCTTATCGGGCTGGCTTCTTTGGAAATGAACAAAGGAACCTAGGGCTAAAAGCGAACTAAGTTAAGCAGAAACTCCTTTGAAGAAAATCATGCAAAATTATCCATTTGAAAACATCTCAATGTCGAAATGATTTTGGCAAGCATAAATTCAAATCCAAAATAAAAATGCAGATTTTGAATTTAAAAATATGAGGACATGTTTTCTTTGGAAAACAAAAACATTTTTTTCTGAAATGGATATTTTTTGTTGTTTTCAAATCCGAAGAATACCCTAAATGATGGTCCCAAGGCTTACAATTTTTAAGAGAGGCATAGTATAATTTTCCAAAGGGAGTTGCGTCCAATCTTTTCGCCAGAATCTGTGTATGCAGACGTACTGGGATGGGATTTGCATTTTGTAAGGTTTATGAATATACAAAATTGTCACCCGTTATGGTGGACGTACCAGAAGGAGTAATCGGTTCTGTTTCGAGACCCCACGTCACAGAGGGTATATGTTTCTACCTGTATGTTGCTTTAATCAGGATAAAAATGGGCGATCCTCGGAGGTAAAGTCATGTAATCATATGTTTACATTTTTTTTAAATTTATACATTTGACAAAATTTCGCTGATTTCATTGTCTACATATACATCTGCAAGAACTACTGACTTATTGGCAATGTCATATTGTTTATATGTGAATTATAAAAACTTCTACACATGGAAAATATGACACTACATATGTAAAAAACATTCCATCTGATATATACTTTACTTCCCTTCTTTAAAAAGTAACGATTTATTGGTGTGTTTAGTTCTCACGTAACGTACGTCCACCACTACCGCATACATTTGTAAATATTGTGTTATCACACATTAGTAAATTGCTAGAACAAGAAGAAGCATTGTTTACTAGTTGTTGCTACGTTTCTTTATTTACTAATTGTTTAATTTTTAATAAATATGAGCAACACAATAGATAAAGTGCGTATTTTATTGGTAGGAGATTCAGGTATGTCCAATATTTTTTCCGTCCGATGGATATACTTTATACAAAGATAGAAAAACACCTTCTTGCATCCAAAATTCTTTATACAACAAATTATAAATTGCCATATTAACAAATATTTTCTTTTAGGTGTTGGAAAGACATGTCTCACCCATTTAATAGCCCATGGCGAAAGTCTTCACAGACCCGGCTGGACAGTGGGCTGTAACATCGAAGTCAAACTGCACGAATACAAAGAGGGTACGCCACAACAGAAGCCATACTTCATTGAACTATTCGATGTGGGTGGTTCATTGAGTCACAAAAATTCACGCAGTGTTTTCTATGCACCCACCGATGGTATAATACTGGTACATGATTTAACTAATCGTAAGAGTCATAATAATTTACGAGATTGGCTATTCGAGATACTCAGTAAAGAGGGAAAAGATACATATAAACCGGGAAGTAATGTTGGCGCTCACAAGACGGCAAATGACGAACAAAACGCCTTCGATCCAGAGGAATTTGTTGGAGCCGCACAAATACCCATACTTGTAATGGGTACAAAATTGGATTTGGTGGATGAGAGGAGACAACCAAAAACCGTGCAGAAAGCAGGCGGAATAGGTAAAAGTAAATGCAAGTTATAATTATATCCTATACTTTGCCGTAGAATCTTTTAAGGGCTTTTTATACCCTACACCACAAGGTGGTGTATTGCCCGATTGAGATGAAATTTTCCCAACAACATATGTTTGGCCCAAGGACGAACCCTATTGAAATTGGAGATAATCGGTAAAAATTTAGATATAGCTCCCATATATATCTTCATCCGATTTGCCTTTTATTGTGCACCAAACGTGTAATATCAGCCCGAATTGTATGAAATTTTGCACGTACGATCAGATTGGACCTGAAAATATGTGTGCTAAATTTGATCGAAATCGGTTCAGATATATCTCTATCTCCCATATATATTGTTCATCCGATTTGTTATTTTTGTCCACCGCCGACGTAATATGCACTCTGCAACAACAATATTTGGGGAAATATATCAAATACAGCTCAGAAATACATTTGCTAAATTTTATCGAGATCGGTTCAGATTTTGATATAGCTCCCATGTATAACTTCGTCCGATTTGCCTTTTATTGTTCACCAAACGTCTAATATTTGTCCAAATGGGTATTTACACCTGGTGACAATATCTTGACTCTGTCTTGTCCTATCTTTACACTTCTATGTCTTTGGCTGTTACTCTATGTATTGTAGACACAAACCATTTGCTCAAAATGCATTTTGTCTAGTCTTTACCATTTTAGGTCTTTGTAACAGCTCATGGCAGAGACATGTTAATATAAAAACCACTATTACAGAAACGGATATAAAATAAAAATTTGAAAAATCCAAAATTTTGGTTTCAAAATTCTATTCCATGGACCTTTCCGAAAATTTGCACATTGCTTTGGCGGTTTAAATCAGTTAACATTTGTAATTATGTTGCTATGATATCGTAACAACAGAGGTATTTTCACAGGGTTACCATATCTTGACTCTGTCTTGTCCTATCTTTACACTTCAATGTCTTTGATCGCTGTGCCGATACCAGTTTCAGTCATAATTATTTTCACTGAAGAATTGAAAACAATTGTCTACCGAAAACAATTGTCTCCGCAGCGAATGGGTAAAAAACGACTCGAAGTTTACATTATAGCTAATGATTACTCTGTTCCAGTACCTGCAAGAATCTAGTTTTGCAATTTTCTTCGATATCATAAGGGGAAAATCGGCAATTGTAGTTAGAGCTTTTACATTCTTGCAGTTCTGGAACAGACCAGATATGAATATTATATTACTAACTGTGAAGAGTAGAAGTTTAGAACATATGTCAAACAAAATGTTGTGTAAATTTACACAACATGCTGTACTTTCATAAGTTCAGATAAATCCCTGTCGTTCATTTTTTTTACATTTTCACCCAATTTGTACAGCATAAGCGATATCCCCTTACTCTAATTCGGATTGTTATAGACTAACTTAAGGATAGTGCGTCCATATGAAATTGGCGAAATTCTAACGAGGATCAAGACAAATCGAAACTCTTGGTAGGCCAAGTGTATTTCCAAGGCCCAACATAAGCTAGACTTTATCTCAACTATGTGTATATCTGAATCGATTTAGACTAAGCTAGTAGGGGTATTCCTAGGCTCCATGCAATGTGTAGTACCAAATATAAATATAGTGAGAAAATTGCAGTTGTATTGACTGATCCAAACTAATAAGTCTTGTACGGTTCGAGATCTTTTATATCTATGTCTAGTCTATGGTAGTCTATACGTCCTATTTGTCCGAATATTGTATATTCGATGCACAATAATAATTTTGTTACCAATTTGAATACGGTTCGTCCTTGGGCCTAAGTAATGAATAAATTCGAATTTATGTTTAAATTAGGCAATGGAATCCGTCATGTAGTATGCTAACAAATGTATATATCAACTAACATAGGATAGCTGGAAAGGAAAATGGTCCTATCATTTGGATTATACAAACAAGTTCATACAGAGCAGGGACCTACACAGAAATACATTTCATGCACTTTTTGGGGAGAGGTGTTTGTATTGCTTTGTCGCAAATTGTGTTATCAAAAATGCTAGACTATCGCATTTTAGAGATAAATTCAACCACTCTAAGCACATCTATTGTCAATATCTGATAATGACTTGGCATATTTACTACAATTTTTCATTAAGTTTTTATAACATTTAATTTTTCCATTCACAGCTGAACAATGCGGCGCTGAAGAAATATGGCTAAATTGTCGTGATCCAAGAAGTATAGCGGCTGGAACAACAGATGCTGTGAAATTGTCAAGATTCTTCGATCGTGTAATTGAAAAGAAACAACAGACACGTGATACAGGCTTTTATGGTAGCGGTATAACAGATAGACGTCGCTACAATACCACCTCGACAATGCCCTACAATATGACCAATATTACCACGGCAGCAAATTCTATGAAACCCAACTCCCCCACACAGACGCAAACGAGAAATGTTTTAATAGAACCAAATGTTTTATAATAATCAATAAACAAATCATATTTTATAGTTTAAAAAAGGAATTATATTCCACATCTTTATTTTATTTCAACATTTTGCAAATGCTTTGAAAACCGTGTCGTACAAAGCCTGGCACACCAACTCTTAGCCTGGTGGCCATTGCATTTGACGACCACCCAAGAAGTGTAAATGCAAATGGTAAACCGATTGAGCACCGTCTTTGCCATTGATGATGACAACACGATAACCATTTTCCAAACCCAAGTCCTTGGCGACCTTGCTGCCAACCAACATCAAATGTCCCAATAGACTCTCATCTTCTTCGCTGGCCTTTGACAACATAACAATAGGTTTACGTGGAATTACCAAAAAATGCGTTGGTGCCTGAGCATTGATATCGTGGAAGGCCACACATTTATCGTCTTCGTAAATAAACTTGCATGGTATTTCTTTGCGAAGAATCTTTCCAAAGATGGTGTCCTCTGCCGGCGCAGCCGACTGAGCTTTTTCTACTTCAGAAGACATAACCCTAAAGTTCGTAGGTGTCTTCAGGCTGCAAAAAGTTGAAATAAAATTGAATGTTTCGATAACGTTTCGAATGACCTATAAAGTATGTTTTATCCTTACCAAGTATTCCTTAAAATTAACCGGCTGCGAGATAGCAAAGTCAATAAAGTCATCTGTCAAAATGTTCTCGATTTGCAAATTTGTCAATAATAGTAGTAGCTTTTACATGGTTGGCGTAGAGAGTAGTGAGCGAATATGGTGCCAAAAAGGAATCCAAGAAACTGAAGAGTGAATTGGTGTGAAGGAAACAGTAAATAAAAAGAAATAAAAATAACGGTAAAATGTAGAATTTTTGAAATGGAGAGTAATGTCATGGTAGAAGAATATAGGTAGACGCATCGACACAGCTGCTGGGACAATGAACTGTCAAACCAATTTTGAAATTGAAAGTGTTGAATGAAAAATCATTTAAATTTGTAAAAATTGTTAAAAAAAAACTCGAATTATAATAACCTCCGATTGACGTGGTATAAGAAAACATATAAAAATCTACTTATATTTAAAAAAATAATTTTAAATTGTTGACATATCAATATTCCCAAGCGTTGATGCATCTAACTATATTCATCTACCATGGGTAAAATGTAGAATTGTTTAAATGGAGAGCAGTTTCAAATGTTTTAGCATGTTTCCATTCCAAAAACCGAACAACATTGTTCTCTCTCAGAATTACGTACAAGAACTAACCCGTTCACAAATCACAAATATAAAAATAATTTCTTCCTTTCAAACGTGTCTTTCTTAAAAAATATACAGTAGCTCTAAACGAAACTCGTACAGCTAAAGAAAATAAATTTATTGTTCTTATAACTTAAAAAAATCAAAATTTCCAAGAAAAAATGTTTTGTTTTGCATTTTATTAGTACACTATTTAAGTATTTAAAAAAAAACTTAATATTTTAATTCATTTAAAGTATTTCATATTTCAATGCGAAAGCCAAACTCGTACACTTCGTATAATTTTAAATATTTCTAGACATTAATATTTTGTATGCATTCCTTTATTTTTTTACTATTTTTAGCCTATTTGGCATACTTTTAACAATTTTTTTTTTTTGCAAAAGCTACTTTTTGCCATTCTTCCAAAAAAGCTTTCTTCAAATCTTCTTTTCAAGATATGGTATGCTGGCGGATTTTTCTATCGAGATAGCTCGATAAATTCTCTATAGAGTTTATGTCTGGACTCTGGGCTAGTTATCCATTACGTGGGCACAATAAAATACCCGATTTTCGGTATTTTGATGATTTTAGCGACATCATTTACCGGAATTGTTTTAAATTTCGCTTTGAAGTTCGAAATGGATATTACAGCCTGTGACAGAAAATTGTCCGTGCAGGTCCACGTCTTCGTATAGCCCCCATATAACGATACCCCAGATATACGGTGTTTGGATGATTTTAGGGACATTATTTACCGGAATTATTTCCAATTTTGTATTTGAGGTTCGTAATGGATATTACAGCCTATGCCAGAAAATTGTCTGTGCAGGCTTATGACAAAAGTTGCGTATGCAGGTCCACGTCGTCGTATATACCCTAATATACGGCTAAATTCGGTATTTTTAAGATTTTAACAGAATTTTTAATGGATTTTAACTTTTTGAAAATTGCCAAATTTGTACCAAATGGTGGAGGGTATCAAAGTACGTCCCGGACGAACTTACACTTTTTTAATATTTACGTCTGTAAATTACACAACACGAGGAAATTTGTGATAAATTAGCTTTTAGGGATTTCCCCAAATACATTTTCCAACAATCACGTTAAGTTGGACGCAGTTCGAAAAAGGGTTGCCGTATAAATGTAAGCTGTACGAGTTTAGCTTTTGCATAGACATTTGGTGAGTTTTAGAATAAATGCCATTATTTTGTTAAATAAATAAAAACAGTAAACTTGTGAACTACGGCTAGTTCTACACACTAATAAAAAATATAGGTTTCTTCTGGTAGTAAATTTGATAACAATCATAAATTGCATTAAAGAAAATTGTTTGCTAAGTGTACGAATTCCGCGTGGAGCTACTGTATAAAATTATGCGCATATGCGACCCTATGGACAAGATTCGTAACATGGATAAGAGTGAGAACAAAATTTTCTTTCGTCTGAATACATACACGTCATGTCATGTGTACATGTTGAACATTATACATTTTTTTCAAAAATTCTATTAATTTTCTCTATTTTGCATTTTCACATGTCATAATTAATTTTTAAGCTGCTCTCATTTATTAGGAATGGGATAGTGGCGTAATTTTTTTTCAGTGCTCTCTTTCAATTTCTGTTTATATTGCACAAATTGTTTTTTAGTCAAATACCGTTTTTATAGTTATAGCCATGGTAAAATTATTACAAGGTATTAGCTGAACTTTAATCAGACATGTCGACCTTTGGTTTGCTGGGTTACTTGTGTTTGTGTCCAGAGTACACAGCATGGTAGAAAAATACAGGTAGATGCATCAACGCTTGGGAACATTGATATTTCAAAAATTTTTAAATGTTTATTCAAATATAAGTAGATTTTTATATGTTTTCTTATACGACGTCGTTCGGAGGTTATTATAATTCGGTATTTTGAGCAATTTTTACAAATTTAAATAATTTTTCATTCAACATTTTCAATTCCAAAATTGATTTGACAGTTCATTGTCCCAACAGCTGTGTCGACGCGTCTACCTGTATTCTTCTACCATGGTACACAGAAAGCACAGTGCCTTGACGCCGATTGGTTGACACCATATAAGACGCCGTCTAAAAAAGCATTCTGCTCCGTTGTCTGCGTACAACGCAATACAGAAAAACGCGAAAGAAATAAATAAACAATTAGAACAATTGCAAATTTTGCAAATTTTATTTTTGTGCTTTTTGTGCAGGATATATGCAAAATTCCGAGACGACGATAAACATTCTGATTACATTACAACCAAGTGGCAAGAAACTTAATCACAATGGGTCAGGACTGGCAGCATGACTTCATTAAAATAAAAAATGGCAACGGGCAAATGGGCCGACTGTCGATTTTTGGTGGGAACACCCCCAAACCAAAAGATCATTGCTGGACATAAGCTAATTCTGGCAATGGCTTCGCCGGTATTTGAGACAATGTTCTATGGGCACTTGGTGGATAAAGATGACCCCATTGTAATACCTGATGTGCAGCCGGATGCATTTGAAGCAATGCTGGAGTACATGCATTTGCACAAGTTATGGTGATGAGTTTGAAAGCGAACTCCAAAACGTGGTACATTATGGATTATGTATGTTTGGAGGTGCGATTTAAAGGATTTCGAATGCATTCAATTGAACGAGTTATGTGGGTTGTAAACGACATGGCGAGGTGTGACATTTATGTCGATATTTATGACAATTTATCACACCTAATTTACACTTTAACGGATTTGTTATTTATATATTAATATTTCTTTATACATCTGTTAAGTTAGAGCGAAATAGAAGCAGCTAAGCTTGGAGAGTTATTTTCTATCTTTATGGTGAGTAAAACTATTAATATTCGACTTTGACCGGCAAGTTAATAATTAAAAATTTTGCAAAGTATATGAAAAGACATAAATTTTGCCAAGTAAAGGAAAGCCGGGATGATGTCATGTCCTGTCGGCTGTGAATAGTGTTTACAAGAATCTGCTAGATTTGCAATTTTTTCGATATCATAAAGGAACAAGTAAAGAAACTGCAAGTTCGGCCGGAACGTACTTTGAATACACTCCACCGTTTGGTACAAATTTGGCAATTTTCAAAAAAAAAAAAATAAAATCCGTTAAAAGTTCTATTAATATCTTAAAAATACCGAATATAGCCGTATATTAGGGTCTATACGACGACGTGGACCCGCATAGGCAACTTTTGTCATAAGCTATTACAATATTCAAATGCGAAACTTGAAAAAAATCTGTTTATAATGTAGCTAAAATCAACAAAATACCAAACATAGGGAGGTACCATGGAGGTTATAACACGTGGACCTGCACAGACAGTTTTCTGTCATAGGCTGTAGTATCCATTTCGAACATCAAATTCGAAATTTGAAACAATTCCGGTAAATAATGTCGCTAATATCATCAAAATACCGAATATCGGGCTGTCCCATTTTATGGGGGCTATACGAAGACGTGAACCTGCACAGACAATTTTGTGTCATAGGCTGTAGTATCTATTACGAATTTCAAGTACCAAATTTGAAACGATTGCGGTACATAATGTCGCTAAAATCATCAAAATGACGAATATCAGGAGGTACCGTTATATCCGGGCTATACGAAAATATTTACCTATATGGTCCATTTTCTGTCTTACGCCGTAGTATTCATTACGAACTTCAAATACCAATTTTGAAACAATTTCGGTAAATAATGTCGCTAAAATCATCAAAATACCGCATATCGCGAGGTACCGTTATATGGGGGCTATATGAATACGTGGACTTACATGGCCCATTTTCAATACCAAAAAGTCCTGCAGACATAACACACGTTTGAGTTAATTTTTATCAACTTACTTAATTTCGTTCGGAAGCTAGAGTGATTTACACAGACGGACGGACATAGCAAAACCGACATAGAATTTTATTCTGATCAAGAATATATATATATATACTTTGTGATGTCTAAAATGTATATTTCGAGGTGTTACAAACGGAAATATACCAAACTTAATATACCCTCCATACTATGGTGGAAGGTATAAGAAAATTGTAACAGTTCCGAAAAATCATGATACACACATTTAAGGGTGGAAATACATAAAGCGCTTATCTGGCTGGCTTCTTCGGAAATTGACAAAGGAACCTAGGGCTAAAATCGAACTAAGTAAACCTGAAACTCCTTTGTTCCTATACGAAGTTGCCTGCCGATGACTTAAGGTAGAAATACATAAAGCGCTTATTTGGCTGGCTTAAGTCATCGGCTGGCTTCTTCGGAAATGAACAAAAGAGCCTAGGGCCAAAATCGAACTAGGTCAACCTAAAACTGCTTTGTTCATCTACGAAGAAGCCAGCCGGTGACTTAAGCCAACGAAATGTGCTCTTTATGTATTTCCAGTCTTAAGGGCTAAGTACATAAGAAGCTTGAAGTCATGGCTAGGCATATTAATGTCAAATTATAATGGAAAACGACGGCTGGATTTTAGTGCGGCTCTGTAATCCCTTTGTGAAATGTCACAAAATATGCCTAGCCATGACTTCAAGCTTCTTATGTACTTAGCTATTT